GGGATTACAGGTGCCCACCACCATGCCCAGCCAATTTTTGTGTTTTTAGTAGAGACAGGGTTTCACCATGTTGGCCAGGCTGGTCTCTAACTCCTGACCTCAGGTGATCCACCTGCCTCGGCCTCCCAAAGTGCTGGGATTACAGGTGTGAGCCACCATGCCCGGCCTCACCCCTATGACATCTGAGCAGTCACAAGGTTTTGGCTACTTGACTCCAAAACATATCCCAAGTCTCACCACTTTGAACCCCGCAGTCTCCACTGCATCCAGGCCAGCATCGTCTCCCATGGATGGCGCAGCGGCCTCCTCGTCAGTCTCACTGCTTCCTCCCGACTCACCCTACAGCCTATTCTCCACTTGCAGCCAGAAGGATCATTACAAACTGTAAATCAGATCTTGTCCTTTCTCCATGCTTTTTTTTCTTTCTTTCTTTTTCAGACAAGGTCTCGCTCTGTCGCCCAGGCTGGAGTGCAGCAGTGCAGTCATAGCTCACTGCAGCCTCAACTTCCTAGGCTCAAGTGATCCTCCCTCTTCAGTCTCCCGAGTATCTGGGACCACTGGCACAAGCCACCATTCCTGGCTCTTTGTTTTATATGTATTTTTTGTAAAGACTTGGTCTCACTATGTTGCCCAGCCTAGTCTCAAACTTCCAGGCTCAAACAATCCTCCAGCCTTGGCCTCCCAAAATGCTGGGATTACACACACACACACACACACCCCCCACCATGCCCAGCTAATTTTTTTAATTGTTTGAGAGACAAGGTGTTGCTATGTTGCTGGGCTGTTGATTTCCATTTTTAAGTGATGCTTTAGCTCAGTGTGAAGCGTGAATGGGAAGGAAGGGGAACAGGGTGGCAGCCCATGAGGAGGCCACAGCAGTGGCCCAGGCATAGGGTGGTGGATTTGTGACAGGCATACATTGATGAACTGGTGCTACGTTTCAAAAGAAGGAAAGATCTGACTTGTTGACTTAGGAGGTGAGGGAGAGAGAATCAAGGATGATTACCCTGGCTTTGTACCACAGGATGGGTGATGGTCTAGAGATAGAATCTGGGGAGCTCTGGCAGGGCACGGTGGCTCATGCCTATAATCCCAGCACTTTGGGAGCCCAAGGCTGGTGGATCACAAGGTCAGGAGTTCAAGACCAGACTGGCCAACATGGTGAAACCCCATCTCTACTAAAACAAAAACAAAAACAAAAACAAAATTAGCTGGGCATGGTGGCTTGTGCCTGTAATCCCAGCTACTTGGGAGGCTGAGGTAGGAGAATTGCTTGAACCAGGACCCGGGAGGCGGAGGTTGCAGTGAGCCAAGATCACACCACTGCACTCTAGCCTGGGCTACAGAGCAAGATTCCATCTCAAAAAGAAAAAAAAAAAGAAAGAAATTGGAGAGCTCCATTTTAACCCTCTTAAATTTAAGATGACTTAAGTATAGAGACATACAAGTAAAGGAGGCACTTGAGTTCATTTATTTACAGCAGTAGAGGTCAGAATTGCAGTCACCTTTATTTTCTGATACCTTACTTTTTATTTATTTACTTCTTTGAGATGGAGTCTTGCTCTGTTGCCCAGGCTGGAGTATACTGGCATGATCTCGGCTCATTGCAACCTCCACCTCCTGGGTTCAAGCGATTGTCCTGCCTCAGCCTCCCGAGCAGCTGGGATTACAAGTGTGCACCATCACACGTGGCTAGTTTTTGTATTTTTAGTAGAGAGGGGGTTTAACTATGTTGGCCAGGCTGGTCTTGAACTCCTGATCTCAAGTGATCCACACACCTGGGCCTCCCGAGTTTGGAGTTTGAAACCAATAATATAAAATTGGGGATCATGGACACTGAATAGCTATTCTTATGAATAACTAATGAAAACTTAAATTGAACAAGAAAATGGTCCCACCCACAGGGTGACACTGAATCTGGTCACCTGACTGTTTTGTCCTGAGAGTGCACTAGGCAAAACCAGGCAACACACTATAGACGCCAAATCCAGAAGGATGTGTTCTGCTGCAAGCCACAAAATGACAGACTAAGAGTAACTGAAACAGAGCAAGCTATTACTCCCGCTCTGGCACTGGTGACTGGTTAGTTCAGCGGCTCAGCATGACTGAGTCAGGACTCTGGGTTCCTGTCTCTGTGATGATGTTCCCCATGTGGTAAGATGGTGATTGCAACTCCAAGTATCATAAATATCTCACAGAGTCCAAAGGAAGAGACGAAGGGTCTGTTCTCCAAAGACTGTCCTCTAAGTGGGAGGAAAACCTTTCCTGGCCTCTCCCGGGAGACCTCCCTGTCAGCTCCCATTGGCCAAAACCATGTCCCGGGCCCATGTCCTAGCTGCAAGTGAAGCTGGAGGAGGAAGTCTCTGGCTTTCACAGTGGGAGGGGCTCAGCTTGCAAGATGAGGTGGGGAGTGATGGCTGCTGGCGAGGCCGCGGGGCCTGGCACCTGTGGGATCTCATTTCCCAACTGCTTCCATTTTAATTCCATGGCTCCTTTTCAGGGATGTCAAACCCTGAAGTGATCCGAGCTCTGGAGCGTGGATACCGGATGCCCCGCCCAGAGCACTGCCCAGAGGAGCTCTACAGCATCATGATGCGCTGCTGGAAGAACCGTCCGGAAGAGCGGCCGACCTTTGAATACATCCAGAGTGTGCTGGATGACTTCTACACGGCCACAGAGAGCCAGTACCAACAGCAGCCATGATGGGCAGGACCAGGGCAGGGCCAGGGGCCCAGGTGGTGGCTGCAAGGTGGCTCCAGCACCACCCACCAGGGCCCAGGCTGCCTTCCTACTCCCAGACACCCACCCTCGCTTCAGCCACAGTTTCCTCATCCGTCCAGTGGGTAGGTCGGACTGGAAAATCTCTTTTTGACTCTAGCAATCCATAATCTGACATTCTCAGGAAGCCCCCAACTTGATATTTCTGTTTCCTGAAATGGTTAGATTTCAGTTACAGCTGTGGTTTGGATGGGAAACTTTCAAAATAGTGAAATGAATATTTAAATAAAAGATATAAATGCCAAAATCTTTACCCAAAGGTTGGTTTTCCTGTCCTTCCAATTCCTGAATATCTATGTGCCTTCTTGCTGTATGACAAGTCAGAAAGTGTGAAGGACTCTCCCGGGGACCAGAAGTACAAAGGCAAATGGGGTTCAGACTGGGTGCAGTGGCTCTGACTTGTAACACTAGTGCTTTGGGAGACCGAGCTGCTGGGGAGTGCTTGAGCCCAGGAGGTCGAGGCCGCGGTAAGTTCTGATCATGCCACTGCACTCCAGCCTGAGTGATAGAGTGAGACCCTGTTTCAAAAGCAAAAGAAAGAAAGAGAGAAAGGAGAGAAAATTGGGGTTCAATGTGTGAAGTTTTCTAACTGCCCTAAAATAGTTGCTGGCTGGTATTAGTTTTCTCTTGCTCCTGTAACAAATTACCACACATTTGGTAGCTTAAGACAACACAAACGTATGACCTTACTGGGCCGGGCACAATGGCTAATGCCTGTAATCCCAGCACTTTGGGAGACTGAGGCAGGTGGATCACTTGAGGTCAGGAGTTCGAGACCAGCCTGGCCAACATGTTGAAACCCAGTCTTTACTAAAAATACAAAAATTAGCCAGGCATGATGGTAGGTGCCTGTAATCTCAGCTACTAGGGAGGCTGAGGCATGAGAATTGCTTGAACCCAGGAGGTGGAGGTTGCAGTGAGCCAAGATTGTGCCACTGCACTCCAGCCTGGGTGACAGAGCAAGACTCTGTCTCAATAGATAAATGAATGAATGAATGGATGAATGGATGGATGGATGGATGAATGTGTAATCTTACTGCTCCAGAAGTCAGAGGGACTGAATGGGTTGGCAGGGCTGCATTTCATTTGGAGCCTCTAGGGCAGAATTTGTTTCCTTGCCTTTCCCAGCTTCTAGAGGCTGCTCCCATTCCTTCACTCATCAGTCCATTTCATTCATTCCTCCAAGCTTTGCTTTCGTCCTCATATCTTCTCCGACTCTGAGTCTTCTTCCCCTCTTTAATTTGTAAGAACCCCTTGGATCTACCTGGATAATTCCGAATAATCTTTTCATCTCAGGATTCCTAATCAGCTTTGCAAAGCCCCTTTTGACATGCAAGGTAACATTTTCACAGGCTCTGAGGGTCAGGACGTGAACATCTTTCAGTAGAGGGAGCATTGCTCTGCCTTCTCCACTGGTCTCCAGATGCTGAATGGGTTTTGCCTTCAAGGAGCTGGGTCTTCCAGGATGGTTTCTCATAATCTGGGATCCTGACTTTCCTGTTAGGCCCCATTGCTACAAGAACTGGTCAGTTTCCAGCTCCCCAGGGCTGGGGACATCCCCCAGACCTAACATTTCCCATGGCCAAGCAGCCATCATACTTGCTGAGATGGTATTTACTGTTGCAGGAATCCTGGTCCGGAGATACGGCTGCTGAGAAGTGTTTAGTACCCTACAAGGGAAGCTCTCAGTGGAAGGGTGGGAGCCCTGTGTAGGAAACAGAGAAGACGACGTGCTAGGCGCTTCTTGAATATTGCCTCAGCTGAAAGTGCCCGGCAGCTAGTTTTTTTATATAGAAAGACAAAAGGAAGTGGACAATGAGGGAAAAGCAAACAATGCCTTTCTATATTATTGCATCCCCTGAAGGTTCTATATCACATCACCCTCCAGGGTCCCATGGAATCCTACATGAACTTGATTCTGTACCCCTGAGTAGTATGGGGTTCTGACCTTAGGAACTGAATATAAGAACAGTGGAAAATAAATCTAGTAGTGTTTCAACTTACCTAGTTGCTCATTTAATTACTTTCTTGCTTTCTAGTTTGTGTCTTGGGTACCTGAAAGCAGAGCCCAGGGTCTTATGATAGAAATTTGCCCTTACGATATATGATAATAACCCAATGGGAGGAGCACACTTCCCTGCTCCCTCAGTGTTGAACTTGACCATGATACTTGCTTTAGCCAATGGGATGTTAGCAGATGTGATGCAAGCAGAGGCTTGAGATGTGCTTGTGGGGCTGGGCTTGCCTTCCAGCCTTTTGCCCTGAAAAGAACATGGTCCAAGGAAGATGAGTGACAGATGGAGCAGACCTAGATGAAGCTGCAGGCCTGAGCCCAGCCTAGATCAACTGAACTCCATCTGAGCTGTGGACATGTGAGAGAGAAATAGATGCTTATTATGACAAGCCTTTGCATTCCGAGGTTGTTTTGTTTCATAGAAGTATGATAGCCACAGCGACTAAGGCACGATATCAGGAGCTGGAATCTATTGCTTACGGACAAGGTCAAGGGATCAATTCCTGCCCTCCTGCTCTTTCAATTTATACTGCCCACACCAACACTGATTTGTCTCTCTGGTCACCAAGAAGGTAGAAACATAGGGATAGATACAACACCAAAAGCATGATCCACAAAAGAAAAAAAAAAAAGATAAATTGTACTTCTTTAAAATTAAAAACTCTGCTCTGCAAAAGACACTATTAAGAAAATAAAAACATGGCCGAGCATGGTGGCTCACGCCTGTAATTCCAGAACTTTGGGAGGTCAGGGCAGGTGGATCACTTGAGCCCAGGAGTTTGAGACCAGCCTGGCCAACATGGCAAAATCCTGTCTTAACTAAAAATACAAAAATTAGCTGGGTGTGGTGGCAGGTGCCTGTAATCCCAGCTACTCAGGAGGCTGAGGCAGGAGAATCGCTTGAACCTCCGCAGGAGAATTGCTTGAACCCAGGAGGTGGAGGTTGCAGTGAGGCAAGATCACACCATTGTACTCCAGCCTGGGCAACAAGATGGAATCCAGAAAGAAAGAGAGAAAGAAAGAGGGAAAGAGAGAAAGAGAGAGAGGGAGGCAGGGAGGGAGGAAGAAGGACAGAGAAAAGAAAAAACATGAGTCCAAAGCATGGAGAAAATATTTGCAAAAGGTATATCTGATGAAGGACTGGTATCCACAATATATAAAGAACTTTTAAAACCCAACAATAAAAGAAAAACTTAATTTAAAAAATATGAAAGATCTAAGCAGACACTTTACCAAGGAAGACATACAGATAGCAAATAAGCATGTGAAATGATGCTCCATGTCATATGTTATTAGGCAAATGCAAATAAAATAATAAGACACCACTCCACATCTGCTAAAATGGCTAAGATTCAAAACACTGATGACACCAAATGCTGACGAGGATGTGGAGAAACAGGAACTCTCATTCTTTGCTGGTGGGAATGCACAATGGTACAGCCACTTTGGAAGGTATTTGGAAGGTATTTACCAAACTGAGCATATACTACCACACAATCCAGCAATCATGCTCCCATGTGAGTTGAAAACTGATGTCTACACACACACACACACACACACACACACACACACACACACACACAAGCACATGGATATTTATAGCAGCTTTATTCATAAACACCAAAACTTGGAAACAATCAAGCTGTCCTTCAGTAGGTGAATGGATAAACAAATTTCAGTATATTCATATAACGGGATATTATTCAGCACTAAGAAAATAATCCCAGCACTTCGGGAGGCTAAGGTGGGAGGACTGTTTGAGCCCAGAAGTTTGAGACTAGCCTGGGCAACAAGTGGAACCCCCGTCTCTACATAGAGTTTAAAATGTATGCGGTGGCATGCAACTGTGGTCCCAGCTCTACACAGAATGCTGAAGCAGGAGGATCGCTTGAGCCCAGGAGATTGAGGCTGCAATGAGCCATGACTGTGCCACTGCACTCCAGCCTGGGCAAGAGAGTGAGATTAAATAAATAAATAATTTTGTCTGGGCACAGTGGCTCATGCCTGTAATCCCAACACTCTGGGAGGCCAAGGCAGGTGGATCACTTGAACCCAGGAATTTGAAACCAGCCTAGGCAACATGGTGAAACCCCATCTCTACAAAAAATGCAAATATTGGCCAGGCATGGTGGTGGGTGCCTGCAGTCCTAGCTACTCAGGAGACCGAGGTAGGAGGATCGCCCGAGCCCAGGAGGTCTAGGCTGCAGTGAGCCGTGATTGTGCCACTGCACTCCAGCCTGGGTGACAGAATGAGACCCTGTCTCAAAATAAATAAATAAATAGCCAAGCACAGTGGCTCACACTTACAATCCCAGCACTTTGGGAGGCTGAGAAGGGTGGATCACTTGAGGCAGGAGTTTGATACCGGCCTTACAGCGAAACCCTATTTCTACTCATAATACAAAAAAATCAGCTGGGCTTCATGGCAAACACCCATAGTCCCAGCTACTTCTTGAGGCATGATAATCACTTGAACCTGGGAGGCAGAGGTTGTAGTCAGCCGAGATCGCACTACTGCATTCCAGCCTGGGCGACAGAGTGAAACTCTGTCTCAAAAGGAACATTTAAAAATAGGCCGGACGCTGGGCGCAGTGGCTCACACCTGTAATCCTAGTACTTTGCGAGGCCAAGGTGGGCAGATCACGAGGTCAGGAGTTCAAGACCAGCCTGGCCAACATGGTGAAACCCTGTCTCAACAGCAACAAAAAAAGCCGGGCACAGTGGCTCACACCTGTAATGCCAGCACTTTGGGAGGCCAAGGTGGGTGGATCACCTGAGGTCAGGAGTTCGAAACCAGCTTGGCCAACATGGCGAAACCCTGTCTCTATTAAAAATACAATACTGGGTGCAGTGGTGGGTGCCTGTAATTTCAGCTGCTCGGGAGGCTGAGACAGGAGAATCACTTGAACCCAGGAGGCAGAGGTTGCGGTGAGCCAAGATTGTGCCATTGCGCTGCAGCCTGGATGACAGAGTGAGACTCCATCTCAAAAATAAATAAATTAATTAATTATTTTTAAAAGTGTTGCCAAACCATAAAAAGACATGCAGAAAGCTTAAATATAGCTTGCTAAGAAAGAATCCAATCTGAAAAGGCTTCATACTGTACGATTCCAACTATATGACATTCTGGAAAAGCAAAACTATGGAGGCAGCAACAAAGTGGGTGGTTACCAGGGGTCTGGTGTGGGAAGGGAGGGAGAGATGAATAGGTGGAACACAGGGTGTTTAGGGCCTTGAAACT